TCCCTACAATACCTGGGCATGCTCCTGATGAGGCAGCAGATGTTCTCCTGAGGGGTCTCCTCTCAGACCTGGATTAATCATCAGTCAACTCCTGGACAGTCTGTGGTGCAACGTGGCATTGCTGGATGGAATGAGACATGATATCCCAGATGTGCTCAATTGGATTCAGGTCTGGGGAACAGGCAAGCCAGTCCATAGCATCAATGCCTTCATCATGCAGGAACTGCTGACACACTTCAGCCACATGAGGCCGAGCATTGTCATGCATCAGAAGGAAGCCTGGGCCCACTGCACCAGCATATTTTCTCACAATGGGTCTGCTCCTGTTCCTCCTTGCACAAAGGAGGAGGTAGTGGTCCTGCTACTGGGTTGTTACCCTTCTACGACCCCCTCCACGTCTCCTGGTGTACTGGCCTGTCTCCTGGTATCTCCTCCATGCTCTGGATACTGTGCTGAGAGACACAGCAAACCTTCTTGCCACAGCTCGCATTGATATGCCATCCTGGATGAGCTACACTACCTGAGGAACTTCTGTGGGTTGTAGACACCACCTCATGCTACCTCTAGGGGTGAGAGCACTGACAAAATGCAAAGGTGACCAAAACATCAGCCAGAAAGGATGAGAACAGAGACATGGTCTGTGGTCACAACCTGCAGAACCACTCCTTTATAGGGGTTGTCTTGCTAATTGCCTCTAATTGCTCCATTTGCACAACAGCAGGTGAAATGGATTCACAATAAGTGTTACTTCCTAACTGGACAGGTTGATTTCACAGAAGTGTGATTGACTTGGAGTTACATTGTGTTGTTACATTGTGTCGCTATGAGATGACTTGTTGTTGTAAATATGCGCTCTACAAATAAAACTGAATTGAATTGAATTTAGGTGTTCCCTTTTTTTTTGAGCAGTGTATTTTACCTGATCTTGGTGAAAAGTCCTGCGACTGTCAAAAAACTCTTTTCCCAGGCTAGATTTTCAAAAGCCTAAAAGCAAACCCAAGAGGAGGTACAGAAGTCTAGTTTCCTCTTTTAACAGTTAAATTATAATATGCTGAGGATTGGTCTGGAATTTTGGATGTCAAAGACTGCCTCCCTCTTCAATCAAAATTGCTCTTAGACACAGTTAATACATAGATATGTTGGCTATGAATTCTAACTATTCAGAAAGAAATAGTTGATATCACTGCTGTGACTAGGTATTAAAAGTACTCGCCATGCACGTGGAGTAATTTCCTAATGTCCTGACATTTTTAGCAAAACAAATGCAACCTGTGCTTTTGTCCATGATGGGATGCGCTACCACCTGCTGTCCCTGGAGGATAGGGAGGACCTTGGAGAGAGCAGCCGACTGCGACGCAAGAAGCACGACTACCACATTGCTCTGTTCGGAGGCTCACAGCCTCAGTCCTGCTGCTATTTCAACCCAAGGTGCCAGATGGCACATTCAGAAATTTTCTCAAGGGGAATTTAGGGAATGTAGTGTGAAATGTAAGTTCTTTGCATATCTACCAAGTGGGTTGTCAACAGTGAGGGTCTAATCTGGATGCATACATTAAATATTTTGTGTAGTTGTATCATTGTTATTATTATTATTATGCTCACCCGCCTCTGAAAGTATTGAATCATTGTATTAAGTTCTGTCCATGTGTCTACAGGTAGCTTGGCCCTGGACCTTTTCGAATGCTATGACACAAGTACAGAGTCATGGCAGGTCAAAACCAGCATGCTGATGGCTCACTTTAGCCACGGCTCACTGGAGGCCAACGGGCTCATGTACATTTGTGGAGGAATGGTGGGCAACAACATCTCTGGGAGGATCCTCAACAACTGTGAGGTCTATGATCCCAACACACAACAGTGAGTCACAGAATCATAGACCTCTGCACAACGTCTTTGTGGTTGACCTGAAACATCTGAGCGGAACCAGGATGACTACTGCCCCCTACAGGGCTGGAGGCAGAGACACACTTTCATTATGGCTTGTGTTAGTCCAACTTTCTGCAGAGATCATAAAATTGAATAATAATAACAAACCCCCCCTCTTTGCTATAGTGAAATACAGATATTAGTTTAAAACTGCACATTTGTTTATAAGCTCCACAGTGAAAATGAGTCGACTCACTTTTGGTAGGTTTTTTTTTCGCACACTGAAATTTGAGGCTGTTTGAATGACAATATCTCAGAAACTATTAAAGATATAATTCTCAATTTTTTACAGTTTTATTCGGCTGTGACAGTGGTAAATACCAATAAACTTTGATTGACTGACTAATATAAAGTTCTGAATAGTACCTTTACAAGCAGTATAAAATGGAGACACTCAGGCAAAGTTCACATACCTTAAGGTGTAATTATTATCATTGCTGGTGTGTGTGTGTGTGTGTGTGTGTGTGTGTGTGTTTGCGCGCACGTGTGATGATAAACACACATACAGCAGCTGCTCTGTTAGAAAGTGAACTCAGGTTGAGACACCGATAAGGTGAGTGTATGTGTGTTCAGGTGTGGCGTTGGCACGGCAACCAGGACAGACCGGGTGTGGCCGTGTGTGTAAGCAGGTCGTGGCAGGGTGTGTGTGTGTGTGAGTAAGTGTGTGTCTGAGGTTCAGGGTGTGTCGGCTGCTGTCGTACCTGCAGGCTGCAGTTTACACAACAGGAAGAAGAAGAAGAAAAGCAGCCTGAAGGCAGGAAAACTGATGCAGCCTCAATGTGGAAACAGAACACCAGCTGAGGAATGTGCACCGAAGAGCTACAGTGTGAATAAAATTAAAGTTTAAAAACTGTGAAAAATCTGGCAGCAAGGGTGCCAGAAGGAATGGTAGAATACAGCAATGTTCAAATATTTAGAAAATACAGACAAAAATATATTTTTATGCAGTTAGAACTGTGGAATTTTACAGTCAAACATTGTAAAAGAACAAAATATCATTTGGAAAAATACAGATTTACCATTTTCATTAGTCATTGTTTTCCAGTTTTAGCTTCTTCTTTCTTTCTTTCTTTCTTTCTTTCTTTCTTTCTTTCTTTCTTTCTTTCTTTCTTTCTTTCTTTTTTTACAGTCAACATGTAAATTATTGCTTTTATTCTGTAATTTAACTTGATATTATCTGTAATTTAATAAGACGGGAAATTTGTGAACTAACACTTGAAAAATCATTTACTATTTTTCAATCCCTAATATACATATTTTTACTTTTAAGGGATGGAAAATATCTTAAAAAATAATTAGACTTTTTGCTGATTAAAACACACAAAAAAGAGTAGGGAAATGTAAAAGACAAAATTACTATTTGTAAAAATAAATAGATAAAAATAATAATAATGTCTATCACAGGGCCACACTTAGAGACAGACAACCAAGCACACTCACATTCACACCTACGGACAATTTAGAATCACCAATTGACCGCAACATGTTTTTGGACTGTGTGGGAGGAAGCTGGAGAACCCGGAGAGAACCCACACTGCACGGGGAGAACATGCAAACTCCTCGCAGAAAGATCCTGGGTGTCCTCACTGAGACATGAACCATCGCCCTTCTTGCTGCGAGGCAACGGTGCTAACCTTGCAGCCCTGTAATATAATATAATATAATATAATATAATATAATATAATATAATATATCTGTGAAATAATGATATTTTTAGATTNGATTTTACTAGTTATTATGTGTATTTTAAAAGATTTATTCTATTTCTTAATCACACACACATACACATTTCTTTTTTTTCAAATAATGGCATATACATGTAAAAAATTCTGCACATTCTTTGCACGTCAGCTGTAGAAAGATGTTTTACCATGCTGAATGTATCTTCCAACAACTTGCTCCTCTGTTGACTGTGTTTTATTAATTGATCCAGTGTGTTTTATTTGTCAGTCATGTCTTGTCAGTTACACAGAAGAGAACAGAGTTGTTTTTTGTTTTTTTTTTTTTTTTTTTTCACAGAATCAAACTGATTATTTTTGCAGAATTTTTTAAATACGACATGATTTTGATAAAATATCCCAACTTTTAATTTCCCTGATAGAACTGCACATGACACACAATATGCTAAAGAATTGCAGAAAAGTTTGAAATCCATCATTTCTTTCTGTTTTTACAGTTTCTGACTGGTGTAATTTTGGTGATTTTTGTTTAAAGGGGCTCCAATTCACAGTTACATTTAAAAGCATAAATGACTTATGTTGCTTCTCTAAATGAGATTATGAAACACTAAATTGTCTTTTTTTTAAAAAGTAAAAAAAAACATTTTATTGTTTATTCCCTGGAGCCAATTTAGAATCACTAATTAACCGCAACATGTTTTTGGACTGTGTGGGAGGAAGCCAGAGAACCCGGAGAGAACCCACGCTGCACGGGGAGAACATGCAAACTCCACACAGAAAGATTCCGGTGCCCCCACCAGGACGCGAACCGGCAACCTTCTTGCTGTGAGGCAACAGTGCTAACCAACTGTGCCACCTTAGGAGTTTTTTTTTTTTGATTGTTGTTTTTATTGACTTTTTTATTTAATTGCCTTTTTGTTCTATTCTGTTCATATATTTCAGTTTAGGTGCTACACGATTAAAGTCTGACTGACTGACTGAAGTTTTTATGAGCCTCAGATATTTCATAGCCTTTCATTGGTGCCACTCAGGCATTTTATTCTGAACTTCCTGCATGAATTAAATCAGACATCTGGACGGTCACAATTTCCACATCTGGAAACACAAAACTTTCGTTCACTTCATTTGATTTTTAATTCTTCGTCCTGTGGAGCTTCTTTGTCCCATAAAAATGTAAATGTGATGGAGGAACAACGCCCCAGACTGTCCTAGAACACACACACACACACACACACACACACACAGGCTGACACACTGCAGCCGTCATATCCTCTGACTGTGTGTGTGTGTGTACGTGTGTGTGTGTGTATGTGAATCAGTGTGAGTCACTATGCATGTGCAGACCTGCAGCAGGAGAGGAGTTAAAAACCGGTGCATTGAGGAGCTGGTCAGAATATTTTTTTTCATCAGTCAGGATCAACACAACATGAAGAGCGGCTGGATTTCACTCTACGGGCTTCTGGCTGCGGTTTGTTCTGTCCAGGCGACATACAGATATTACTGTAAGTGTTTTTCTTCTTCTTCTTCTTCTTGGCTTTGACTCAGCATCTCTCAACTCTCTTCTGTAAACTCTCTAAGACTATAAACACACCTGAGCTACTTTCACATGTCAGAATGCAGCTTTATCTCTACTTTTGTGTAAAATTGAATCAAAGTTAATCCAAGTAGGGAGAAAAATGTATTAAATATTTGAACCATCTTCAAAAACATATTCAATTATAACAACAACAAAAAAAGGAAAAGAAATGTGGCACATTAAGAAGGTAAATTGTTTATTCCTACCAACAAATACACAGGCAACTGAATGTCATTTTATGTCTTTACTACATTTTTATTGAATCAAATCATCATCTTACAGTTCGAGATCTAACTATGGAGCAAAATCTCTTATTTACAGGCGTCATTCATATTCAAAACACTATTAGATTATGAGTGAAAAAATGTGGCACACTAAAGGATGATATTAACATTTTCTAACTTTCTAATAGACATTAAGAATCAGAATATTGTTATTTTATTAAAGTGTTCATTAAAGTATGATTGTGCGTCATTATATGCAACTGAGTGCAAAGAATGGGTAGAAAAAAGTGATGTATCACTTAATATGCTAAATTCTTCTATTTTTGTATGAAAACAAATTAGCATCCTACAGTATAAGATCCAACTAGGTAGCAAAATCTGTTAAAATATCTATATAACACCTTTACCTTCTCCAAACACCTCAGGCTACATATATATATATCCATCCATCCATTAACTATACACCGCTTAATCCTCACTAGGGTTGCGGGTGGCTGGAGTCTATCCCAGCTGACCTAGGGTGAAGGCAGGGGACACCCTGGACAAGTCGCCAGTCTATCACAGGTCTGCACTTAGAGACAGACAACCAAGCAAACTCACATTCACACCTACGGACAATTTAGAATCACCAAGTAACCTCAGCATGTTTTTGGACTGTGTGGGAGGAAGCCGGAGAACCCGGAGAGAACCCACGCTGCACAGGGAGAACATGCAAACTCCTCGCAGAAAGATCCCGGGTGTGTTAATGTGTGTTTATTAATATCTTATGTTGGTACAAACAAATATTTGCAATGATTCAATTTAAAGGGTTATTCTGGTGTTATTGCATGGTTAGTTCAAACTGTGTGTTTGTCTCATCACTGCTGAGATTTACCAAACACAGAAAAGTGCATATAAGTATATACAAGCTGAATAAGCAATAAAATAGCAAGTAAAAGGGTTCAAACTGTGCAACAACAAATAACAACAAAAATATATACAGCTATTATATGTTAATAATGTGAGTTCAATTAAGAATAATATAAAACGTAATGAGTTTGATCCTGTCCAATGGCACTTCAATGTCAACTGATTCACAATTGTATATATATATGGGATGCCACGGCATCAAAGAGACTATACACACACACACACACACACACATGTATATATGTATATATATTTTTTTCCCCCAGGACTTCATATATTCACCTATATTTTTGATGATAGAGTCAACCCTCCTTTAATTTTTCAGCTGCTCTTTGTTGGAGGGGTGGTGTTGTTCTGCCTTTCTTTTAAAATACCCCCAAATTGTTCCACTGAATTCAAGTGAGTTGACTTGGCTTGTCCAGGTCATAGTTTTCACTTTGTTCTTCTGTAGAAACTTGTGTGATTTTGTGCTTTTGATGGTTCCCATGCTGGAATATTCCTCTCTTTCAAGCTTCTTGTCAGCCAGTGCTTTGGTTTATCCACAGACATTCATGGTGCATCTATAAATATCATCTCCGCAACAACTTTTACACTTATGCAGCTCCATTCTATCACAATCTCACCTCTGTGCTTCAGTGTCAGGACGATGCATTCAATGTGGTAGTCCTATTCAGGTTCACACCAAACATGATGGACTCCATATGAGCCCAACAAATCAATCTTCATCTGACCAAAGAATGTTCTCCAATAGTCATAAGGCTTCTTTTTATGTTCTTTAATCTTCCAATTTTGTGCCAAAGAGCAAACACTGGTGTTTCTCTTGTCCTTCGTCCATATAGGCTGATGTTCTGAAGTGTCCTTCACACTGTCTGAGCTTCACAGAAACTCTGATTTCCATTGATAACCCCACCAAGTCAAAGCAGCTGCTGTCTGTTTTTCACAACTTGATTGTGAAAGTAGTTCACTGTCTGTGGAAGCATTTTAGGAGGACGACCACTGCAGCCCTGATTAGTGGGACTAAGACTCTTTTTTGCTTCATTGATTTTTAGTTGATCTTCTTTTATCCTTTGTTGTCATTGTGAAGTCTCACAATCAGATTTTTCAGCATCTCTGGCAGTTATTTTCTATGTGGAGTCATGATGCAAACATGCAGACAGACAGTCACTTTCTGCTTTGGCCCTCCATTTTCAATATAGTCCTTCTAAAATATTTGTAAATGTTTATAAGAGGAAATACTGTGCTGTTCAACTTGGAAATAATGCAGTTATTGAGGGAAGTAGAATGTGACAGGGGCATACTGACAGTAAACACAATAAATGATTAGAAACAGTAGAAGGAGTGTGCATCTGTTAAATAACAGACAGGTATGTGATGAAACAAGTGTTAAAAGATGCCTTTATGTGCAGCTGAATGCAGTCTTTGAGTGAAGAGTAATTCTATTCATATTATTCACCACTGAAAGTACCAGTATGGACATGAAGCCTTTTTGCTTTTCCAGTGATTTCATAACTCAGCGCTGCAGACTGAGGTTTACGTGGATTTCAAAAGTCTGCTGCTCTGTACACTGATAACAAGATAAGACTTCATTAATAGCACAGGAGGGGAATTTAACAGCCCAACAAACACAGCAGAGAAGCAGACAGGATCTGGTTTGAGATAAGAAAATACTGATAGACACAGGAGGGAAAAAATAGGAAAACGTTCATGTCAGTGGTTTAAATCAGTATTACAAGACACTAAGTCAAATGTTTCACTTCACTTATAATTCTTAACTAAAAAGTGAAATGTTTAAGCCTAAAAACTTGTCATTGTTGTGTTAACTTTAAAAGTGGTTTAAATTCTGACTTTTGAATACAAAGCTATGCCCAGAAATCCACTAAAATGCAGATAAACAGATAATAAACATAATTTATAAATCATTGAATGTCAAGTCAGGTTACTGTCATTGATGCAGAGGATTTCAATGAACAAAAAATGCTTTCCAAGAAAGAAACAAGATTCATGTCACAACTTTACCCAACAAGTTTAAATACTGAGATTAAGACCTGCAGGAATTTACATGGAAAACTTCAGGAATGAGCTCTTAAGGCACAGTGTCCCGGCTGGGAGAAGGGAGACACCCATGGGTGAGGCCTTGGCATCCTCTTCCCCACCTATGGGTGAGGCCTGAGCTGTCAGAGGGGAGCCGCCTCCTCCTCAGGGACACAAGTTTGTAGCTGTGATGACTCTTTATGTTGAAGAGAAGCTCTGAGACTGACGGAGATTCAATATTGACTCTGAGATTCGCTTCTCTGAGTTAAAAGACAGAAATAAAACCTCAAACTGCTAAAGAGCTTGATGCTGCTATGACAAAGAGAAGCTAAAAACAAGCAGTTCACAAGGAGACACAAAACCTCCACAAAAACACAACATTTACATAAAGAGATATAAAAGCACCACGAGATCCAAAACAACCATAAAGAAACACAAAACAACTGCGTAAAGACACACAATGACCACTAAAATGACAACAAACAGACACAATATAAACTCAGAAATGCAAAATAACCACAAAACAACAGAAATACCATAAAGAGATGTAAAACCATCCTAAAGAGACTCAAAACAACCTTAAACAAAGAAACACAAAACACCTGCAAGGAGACACAATATGACTAAAATGGACACAAAATGACCACAAACAGTTACAAAATAACTATAAAGACACACAATGCTTCCAGAGACACAACATGACAATAAAAAAAGAAACAAAATAACACAAATAGACACAAAATGATGACAGAGACACAAAATCACAAGAAAATTGGCAACAAAGAGACAAACTGACAACAGACTCAAAACAACCAAAAAAAGACACAACATGACAACAAATATGAACAAAGTGACAACAAATAGACACAATGTGACTTCAAAGAGACATAAAACAACCACAAAGAGATGCAAAACGACCAAAAAAGTACATAAAATGACTAAATGACCACAAAAAGACATAAACTAACCATAAACAGACACAAAGTCCATGGTTAAATTCTGATCAAACCAGAAGTTTGAGGATCAACATTTGACATCATGATTTTCCGTCAGGGCCTGTGATGGAAGTCAAGCTGCTCCTGGGTGTGTCCTTGTTATTTTTTGTTCCCTCCAGGGGGAAAAAAAAGGTTCGGAGTTATGAAACAATGAATCAGTTCCCTCCTCCTTAGTTGCACGTGTCGGAAACCTTCCTGTAAAAGACTAAACACCTGAGCTCATTGCTGCCAGCGGCGCTCAGGTGAACATGAACTGTTATCAGAGTGTGAGTCACCACAAATCAGCCGCTGAATCAGAGTCTGAATAAAACCTGAGCTCACCTCAGTCTGTTTTAAAGCCTAAAATCCCCTCAGTCTAACCAGAGAAATAAGTCAGAGTCACCGGATCCTCAGAAACAGCTGCAGACAAACCACAATGTAAACCTCAGTAAAATTAAAAGATCACTGTCAGGACAAAACCTTTACATTCTACAAGCTCTGTTCGAGAACAATGCTGGTTTTATAGCTTCTGTGTTATCATCTTTCTTCAAAAATCCCATTCAAATCCCCAAAACATTGGTTCTGACACTGTAGAATAATAAAAAATTTAAAACAAATTTTCTAAACAACTTACATTTATTTTTCTGTTGTTTTGTTAAACAATAACAACTATGAAAATAACAGAAACATTTATTAATTCAAATTTTAACTGTAATAAAATAGGCCGAAACTGTAAATCACATTCACATCAAGAATCTGTATTTGTATAAACGGTAATTTGCTAATTTTACAACATTTGACAGTAAAATTAACTTTTTTTCTTTACTTAAATCATCTAAAATATAATTATGTTAAAGCTAGTTGAGATCAGTGGTTACACTACTAATGTAACTGGTAGTCAACTGATGGCAAACCAGCTGACTTGCTAAAGACTCTGGCTGGCTGTTAGGTCACCATGAAACTTCTTACTCCGTCAAAGCTATGAGGAAATGAATTGCACTGTGACTGAAATAAATAAAACACTGTAAAAATCAGCTGGTGTTTGCTTCTGTCAGACTGATCCGTGATTCATTTTCTCCTCTACGTGTTGTCGGGCCTCTTTTCCTCGCCCTGGTTCACCACTAACTGCTGCTTATGTGACCACGTCAGCTGACAGTGAAACTTCTGGTCAATGCTAACAGCAGGATGAGGAGCAGCCTGTTTTAAAAAAAAATACAAGCCGCTGGAAAAACCTCAGCAGGACTTTGAGGTGTTACTTCAGATGAGCGTCAGTTTGGGCAAGGCTCAGTGGAGAAATGATTTGTCTGCAAGAGTCCCTGGGATTCTGGACAAAACCACAAAACAAACAAAACACTTCCCGCTCTTTAAACATCTGAAGCTGTCGTTGGTCAGTTGAAAGTTCAGGAAGCTGTTATTACTAAGTTAAAGGTTGATCTTCCTCCTTCCCACACTGTAAAAAATTGACAATTTTTACTTTCATTTACAGATTCTCTCTGTTTTGTTCAATTGCAGACAACCATGTAAATTTACAGAAAAAGTAGTAATTTACATGTTGACTTTAAAAAATAAAAAACAAAACAGAAAAAGGCTAAAACTACTACTACTCTCCACATCAAACATCAGTATTTTTACAACTGGCGATTAATTCTTTTACAATGCTTCACTGTAAAATTACACCAGCTAAAAATTTTATTATCTAGCAGATACTTGCTGTTATTTGAAATAAAAGTCACGTATATTAAGGATTGAAAATGGTAAATAATTGTTTTAATTGTTATTTTACAGATTTTTCCTGTTTTGTTAAAATATATATAATACCTAGTAAAATCATTCAAGGAAAAAAAAAAAACTTGCTGACTGTAAACAACAAACAAATAAACAACACAGCCAAAACTATGAATAATCTCCACCATTAAATGTATATTTTTAGTGTTTCACTATGAAAAGAATCTTTTTTAAAAAATGTATTTAAATAAAAAATATTAATTTACAGATATTTGCTGTTATTTAAAAAAAAAAGTAAATTACTTTTTAATCGTTATTTTATCTTACAAATGATATTTAGTAAAACCACAGAAAAAAATCATAATTTACATGTTGACTGTAAAAACAAAAACAGGTCTATAAACTAAATCATGTATTTATGCAAACGATAATTCATTTCTTTTACAATGTGTACCAATAAAACGACACTCTTTCACTGTTTAAATCAGCTCCAAAATATCATTATTTTTGCTGATATTTGCTGATATTCTGTCTATTTTCGATTGTTACAGTATTCCACTGTTTTTTAATGTATTTTGTGGCTGCTGTTGCCAAATTTTACTCAGTGAAAATACAAATGTAAGAAGAAATCTAAGCATCAGTTGCAGTGAGAGTGCTGAAAAGAGCTGATCATTGTTTGAATCAATAGAAGTGGATGAGTCAGTTAAAGTGAGAATGCCTACTGAAAATAATATAGAATTCAAAATAAACTAAATGAAGCTGACCTTTAACCTCCTTCTTTCTGCAGCGACATTACGATGCGATTGTAATGGCAGATCTCGGTACTGCCTCCCGGACGCCTGGGGTCTGCACTGCATCGACTGTCAGGGAAACTACGAGGGACGCCACTGCGAGCGCTGCAAAGATGGTTTCTACCAGCAGGAGGCGGGACTGAGTTGCTCACCCTGCCGCTGCAACCCTGCAGGTAAGATCACACCTGTCCTTAGAACACCGCCGTGTCTGGAAACACAAAGCTGTTCAGGTTTGTTGTAGATGTAAATCATAGACTGTATAAAAGAAGGACGTAGCTACCATGACGTCATCCGTTGGTTTCTGCACTGAGAAAATGAAACCAGGGCTGCGTCCGAAATCACTCCCTATGCCCTATATAGTGCACTATATAGGGTGCACACCATTTTGTAGGGGTGTCCGAATGTTAAGTGACAAATGTTACACCCTATATAGTGCACTCAAAATATCCCACAATGCACCGTGAAAAGTAGTGTATAGCCAATGGTCACTAACCAAGCAATATGGACCGTCATGCATTGCGCAGAAGGAAATGGAAATGGAGATGAATGAGAGCGTGGAAAAATTCCCGTTTGTTTTGTTAAATTTTGTTTGACCTGGACAGTGAACGTCGCTACAATTGCGGCACTCGGTTGTGATTTGGACATACAACACCACTTTCTTTAAATTGCTTTCAGTTACTGGATCCTGAAGAAACGCTCTCTCATCTGGGATGTACAGCAAAATGACAATAAACTTGATTTAATTTGATTTCTTAGCTACGCAATAAACTGTGAATTTGATGTGTTTGTACTATGCTGTTGCAGCACAAATCGCAGCTAGCGAGCGACGTAATTAATAGCTCGAGTAGTGTCCGAAATGATACTTTGCCGAGGTGCTTCCTATATAGTGCACTACGTAGTGCACTATATAGTGATCACTGTATAGGGAGTAGGGAGTGAGTGGTTGACATCTTGGATTTTTGGAGCCAGTGACGCAAAAATCGTCAGAGGGGGGCGGAACCATAGGAGCAGCGATTGGTCAGACGGCCCTCTCTGCCCGCCCACATTTACCGCCTTCTGCTTGCTTCCTCTGAATCGTCGCTGCCGACTGTCAATCAAGCCAGCCACGCCCCTTGCCCCGCAAAATTTTGACGATTTTTAAAAAAATTCAGTATTGATTTATTTTCAGATTGGCCACCTGATCTCTGAATTTGACTATGAAAACTAATAAGAAAAAAATCCTGAGCTGTAGGATGATGTGATGTAAATGTCTGAACTCGCCTCTTTTCCTTCAGGTTCTATCACCGCAACTTGTGACAGCAGGGGGCGCTGCAGATGCAAAGAAGGCGTCACTGGAGAGAAATGCGAACGATGCCCCGACGGACCGATCGGACCCGACGGCTGCTCGCAAAGGTGACAAATCTCGCCTCAGATCCAGAAATCCTTCATGGGCTTTTATTCTTTCCTGTGTTTTTGTGTCAGCATTTTAACATCATCTGACACTTCAGCTACTTTCGGTGCTTTCACTTCTGAGAGTTGAACTTATTGTCATCATCTGAGTGTTCACCTTCTGTCATTGATGTAATTCCACTTAAGCTAATTTTAGTACTTATACAAGCACTAAAACGTCAGCTCCTTTCAGCACTTTTGTTTCAAATGACAATTAAGTTCTTTTCTGTTGCAATTTAATCCAATCTTTACCTTCTTTCACTGCTGGAAATCCATCCGCCACTTAAATTTTATTCAGTTTGTACACCTCACAGAAACTTCAGCTCCTTTCAAAACTTTTGTCTTTAATGACACTTCAACTGCTTTCAGTACTTTGACTTCAGGTTATGTTCCGGTTATTTTCTGTGCCTTTGTTTATCTCACACTTCAGCTACTTTTAATGCTTTTACTTCTACTGAAACTTGAACTTGCTTTCATTGCTGTCACCTCTTTTCTTTATCGCCACTTTTATTTAATTTTTAACATTTTTGTCTTTAGCTCATTTTAGCACTTAAGTTTCAAAGGATGCTTCAGTTCCTTTCTGTTGCAATTTAACTGAATCTTCAGCTTCTTTCACTGCTTTTCTTCAGTTCATTTTTCTCAGTTCTACTTAAGCTTCTTTCCAAGCTTTCCTCTTCAGTCACACTTTAACTGCCTTCAGTAATTTGACTTTAGATGACGCTCCAGTTCTTTTCTGTTGCAATCAAAGTGAACCTCCACCCAAGAAGATTATGACCGGTTTCAAGAAATACAACAACAAAATCATCTTCAAGTTGTTTTGTCAGTTCTGGCTCTGACTTCATGTCGTTTGTTGTGTTTTTCAGGCGTCAGCTCAGAGAGGATTCTGAGAGTTTGACTTTGCCGTGTTTCTGTTATGGCCACAGCACGGTCTGTTCACCACAGTCTGGTTACTCCGTCTACAACATCACCTCCACCTTCGCCGATGGTAACCTTTCACTTCTTCGCTTTGCAGTAAACTATTTCTTTGCAAGAGTCACTGTTTGGGTCATTTTTTCTTGTCTCGTTATCATTTAGCAACACATTTTACATTTCTTTGGATTAATTTTGCATCACTGTTTTGTGTTTTTGTGGGCATTTTGCATGTTTTTGGGGTCTTTTTTAATCTCTCAGGCCCCAATTTGTGTCTCCTTTAGGACATCTTGCATGACTTTTAATTTTTTTTTGTCTCTTTGAGGACATTTTGTGTTTATTGTCTGTTTTGAGACAATTTAGAACAATTTGGGTCATATTGCTTTGCTTGTGGGTGTTTTTTTCTCTCTCTCTCTTTGGACATTTTATACCTGTTTCAGAACATTTTGCATTACTTTTGGGAGTTTGTTTTTTATTGTTTTTATTTTGAGTCTTTTGAGGCATTTTCTGTCTCTTGCATCAATTTACTTCTTTGTGGAGTTGGTTTTCTGCCCTTTCAGGACAATTTCTAACACTTTTGGAAATTTTGTGGCTGTTTCACTGTTTCACTATTTTATTGAAAAAATTACGCTTTGAGGGTATTTGTGTCCTTTTGGCGTACTTTTTCATCTCTTTGGGGTTGTTTTACATCTTGTCAGAAACATTTTGCAATACTTTTGACATTTGGGATCACTTGTAGACACTTTTTGTCTCTTTTAAGAAAATCATATAATAATAATAATAATAATAATAATAAAATACTTATATAGTACTTTTCAAGACACTCAAAGTCACTTTACAAAGTAGGTAAGAACACATACAAAAAATATTATATATAAAAAATATATACTTATAAAATACATAATTGTACACTTCACCTCTTCAAATCCTTGACCACTGCAGACGCAAGAAAGTTGATTTGTATTTTATGTTTTGTCTCAGAGAAGGTGTTATTTCTTTTTTCAGAGAACTCACTGCACTCTTTCTACTTTTTCTCCTGATATTCTAAAATGTCAAAATTTATAATATCAGTGTCTCTTTAAAAAGATAAAAGCACCACATGTGACGTAGTTATGTTGTGTTTCAGGTCCGGAGGGTTGGAAGGCGGCGACTGTGCACGGCTTCACCCCTAACGACGTTCACTTCCGCTGGTCACCAAAACACCAGGACCTGGAGGTGATATCCAGAAACAGCCTGCCAATTTACCTTTACGCTCCAGGTAAGACAAGCCACGCCTCCTCTACCACCTGAGATACTCTCCTGTTCTTCCCCTCCTAAACCAGGCATATTTCTCTCCTTCTCCTGCAGAACCTTACCTGGGAAACCAGCTGCTGAGTTACCGTCAGAACTTGTCCTTCTCGCTGCGTCTGGACCGCGGGGTCCGACACCCGTCCACCAGCGACGTCATCTTGGAAGGCGGCGGTTTGAGAGTCACCACCTCGCTGGGCGACCTGCGCTCCATCGTTCCCTGTGGACAGAAGATCAAGTACAGCTTCAGGTCAGAGAGTCAAACCTGCAGAGACGTGAAACTGTTGTTGCCCAACGGTTGTTTGTGAAACCACAGACAGGAGTTTTCGTCTTTTCTTTTCACTCAGGTGTGAAACATTCCTGAGTCGAGGAATCCTGTTGCAAGTAGAAACGTAGAAAGAATCTGGAGCTGCTCAGACTCTGTTGCCAAACAGATTGTTTCCATGAGATTTACTGGATAATTGACACTGAAGAAACTCTCGTCATAACACAAAATAATGTACCTCAGAGTATGTCAAGGAACGTGTAGCAGCTCAATCACTGTTTGTCACAATGTATTGCATATAATTTTGTAGGGTCTTAATCTTAATATTTATACTTATTGGGCAAATTTGTAATGTCAGTCTTGTTTCTTTAGTGAAAAACACACCAAAACTCCCTTCACACATGCAGGCTTTACTGTAATCTGATACCATCTGAACACGCCAGCTTCATGACTAATATAGCAACTTGGTCACATTTCTGTTCACATTAACAGATGGACACAAATTCTGAGTTTTATGAAGTGATTTGATTCCTTTTTCAACATTTCAGCAACAAAACTGATGCAAAAAAAAAGACACAGTTTGCTACCAAAACCCTAAAAACACCTTTCCAATCTTCTTGGCGCTGCATTTTCACATCTACTACAAACTAAAATATCCATCAAAATGACTGTAACAGGTCAATTTAATGAGACTCAATAATAAATATGATCCCGGTTTTAACAAACAACAGCAGAAGTTTGGTTTGTTGCTTCCAGCTGCTTATAAGAGCCTTTCCTCTGAGTTAATTAATGGTTGTTTTATTTTAAAACCTGGATTTTTAAAAAGTTTTTTTGTGTAGTACCAAACAAAATTTCATATTTGCATCAAACTGGGGAGCACAAGTTTTTAAATTATAAGTATGATACCATAAAAAATCCATGAAAGTAGGGCGTTAAGGCCTTATGCTATGTTAGCTTATGAGCTACAAATATGGGAAATTAGAAGAATTTAAGTGCTGCTGTGCTTTGAAACATTTTTGGAAGACTGCTGTGAGTTTGGGAACATTTGTGTCCATTTGAAGACATTCCCCATCTATCTGGAGCTGCATTATATTTCTTTGAGGACATTTTGTGTCTTTTGGTGTTTCTGTACTACCTTTTGCAAATTTTTGGCTTGGTCTAATTCTTTTTTTCATATTTATTTTGCATATTTTCCACCTCTTGTAGAACATTTTACATGTTTGGGGTTGATTTATGTCTTTTTGGAGACATTTTGTGCCAAATTTGGTGATATTTTATTGTCGTTTTGAGTCGTATCAAGGCTTTATGTTATAACCTGTGATATGGAGGAGGTTTTTAATGAACAGCTGAATAGAGTTGAGACAGTTTTTACCTTTCACTTCAAGGTTTTAGTCAGTGTTGTGAAAGCGATCACTTTGTGTTTCATGACCAGGCTGGACGAGCAGCCGGACAGCAGGTGGAGGCCTCAGATATCTTCCTTCCAGTTCCAGAAACTTCTCCAGAACCTGACATCCATCAAGATCCGGACCACGTTCGGTGAAACTGGTGAGATGCTTCTCCTCTTTTAATTTTTTTTTTTTTTTTTAATTTCTCTCTTTCCATCTTCTTCTCTTTGGGGACATTTTGCATCCCTGTGGACATTTGTTGTCACTTTTAGGTCACTTCCTGTCACTTTGAGGACATTTTGCATCTTTTGGGGGTTGTTTTTTTAGTGTCTTGGAGGATATTTTCTTTCTCTCTGTAGCGGTGGTTCATTGTCTCTTTGGATACATTTTCCATTATTTTTCTGTCTTTTTGGGTAATTTTTTCATATTTTTGACACATTGTGGATACTTTGGGGACATTTTATATTACTTTTTGAGCATATTTTTTCTCTTTTGACACATTTTCTGTCTCTCTCTTTCTTTTTTTTTATTTTTTTTTTTTAGGGATTTTGCATGTTTAAAAAAATGTCTCATGTCTCTTGGAGGGCAAATTGTGTTCTTTTTGGGGTAGTTTTCTGTTCCTTTGGAGACATTTGGTTCGTTTTTGGAAACATTTTCAGGGGCAATTTTGCATGAAGTTTAGATGTGTTTTTGTCTCTTGCATTGTGTCATGTGATATTTTGTGTCTTTTTGGAGTGTTTTTTCATCTTTTCAGATACATTTTTGCATGTCTTTCGGGTTGCTTTACATCTTACTGGGAACATTTTGCAACACTTCTGACATTTTGTATCACTTGGGGACACTTTTTTTGTCTCTTTTAGGACATTTTGTGAGTCAGTTATATACTTATATAATCAATAATTGTACACTTTTCTTACTTTCAGAGAACTCACTGCACTTTTTTTAAAAGTTCTTTTGAAAACAGTTTGTTTAAAGTTGCATGTTTGCTGGCAGATGATGTTACATCTACAGCACATCTGGTTTGCATTGATTTGACTTGGTTTGATTCTAATGGTTTTCTAAACTTAGACCTGCAGAAACATAAAACAAACTTTGTTAAACAGCAGTTTAAGGATGAAAGTGATCTCTGCATTTAAACTCTTGTTTCTTTCCTTTTCCAGGACGTGGTTATCTTGACAACGTGCAGCTGGTGTCGGCTCGGCCTGCGGATGGGGTTCCGGCGCGCTGGGTTCAGGCCTGCAGCTGCCCGCCGGGATACGACGGCCTGTTCTGTGAGCGCTGCGCGGCCGGATTCAGGCGCCGGAGCCCCGCAGACGGAGCTTTCGGCCGCTGTGAGCACTGCAGCTGCACCGGAGGCAGTTGCGACCCGCAAACCGGAGACTGTTACTCCGCAGACGAGACGCCCGCAGAACGCAGCTGCTCGGAGGGTTTCTACAGAGACCCGTGGAGGCCGGACCGGTGCATGAAGTGTCCCTGTCCGGACGGGGTGTCCTGCTCGGTGCCTGCTGGTTCTCTGGAGCCCCGCTGTGACCGCTGTCCTCCGGGAACCACCGGTGAGTCCAAACGAACACAAAGTGGCAGCCGGTCGTTAAAGATAATTTACTTACACTGTGTGCAAACGTGTTGTTGATACAAGGAGTTTGGCATAAAATCAGCATCTTTTTGCATCTCTTTGAGGGGGACTATTTTGTGCATCTCTTTGGGCATATTTTAGACACCGTTTGTCTCTTTTGGGACATTTTCTGTGCTTCAGGACAGTTTACTTCATTCCATTGGGAACCTTTTTGCATCACTTTGCTTTTGATTACATTTGGTCTCTTTTGGTGTATTTTGTGTCTTTTGGAGGAAATTTAGCATCTCTTGGGGGACAAATGCATCTTAAAAAAAAAATAAAATAAAATCTCCTTGGGGACATTTTGCATCACCATTGGATGCTTTTTGTTTCTTTTGGAACATTTTCCATGGCTTTTCCAAAATGTTTTTGTCCCTTTAGGGAATTTTTGTGTTCTTAAGGGGTTTGGTTTTTTTGTTCATTTGGGGACATTTTGTCCGTGTAGATATTTGATATCTTGTATTCTGTCTTTGAGGACATTTTGTGTTTATTGTGTCATTTTTTATTTCTGTAGTGATATTTTGCAATGCTTTGGAACATTTTTTTGTCACTCTTCTGACACTTTGTGCATCTTGGAGATCTTTGGGTTTTTTTTACATCTTGAAGGGAACATTTGGCATTTCTTCTCTTTTACGAAATGTAATACTTTTAGGTCTTCACCAGCGTGAATGTGAACGAGTTGATTTGTGTTTTCATTTTTACATCCGAAAACATTCTAACATCATTGACATAACGTGACGTGCTGTATATTATTCCTCAGGTCCTCGCTGTGACTCCTGTCAGGAGGGTTTCTATGGCGACCCTACAGGTGTTGCAGGTGTGCAGCGACCCTGCAAACCCTGCAGCTGTAACGGACACATCGACGTCAGTGTGGCGGGAAGCTGCGACCGAGTCACCGGAGAATGTCTGAAGTGTTTGAACAACACGAGGGGACAGAGCTGCGAGTTCTGTGAGAGAAGTTACTATCACAGTCGCCCCTCCGACGCCTGCAAAGGTAAGAAATGCCTTCCGTCATCTGCTGCAGCTCCACCGTCTCCTCTGCAGAGCTTCTCAAACATCTCCAGCACATCTGGTCAGGCGGTTTGATGTTACTAACAGCTGTTTGCTCTGTTTCTTTGACCAGCCTGTAACTGTGACCTTCGAGGCTCTGAGTCCAATCAGTGCGATGATTCTGGTCGCTGTCGGTGCCGGTCGGGCTTCGAGGGTCTGAGGTGCCAACGGTCCAACTGTCCTGCCTGTTTCAGCCCCATCAAAGTAAAGGTACGACTCTGGTTTTCAAGGTATCAGGTTTAGTTTGTGCAGTTTGTTTCCATCTTGATTAGTGTCTCATGAACCCAAACTGAGTGTTTGAAGATATTTAACATCTATTTCAGGCCATTTTACATCTGTTTAAGGACATTTTGTGTCTTTCTGGGGTTGTTTTTCGTCTATTCTTTTATGCCATTTGTGTATTCTTGGGAGCATTTTTTTTTGGCCTCTTTTAAGATATTCTACATGTTTGGAGGTGTTTGATACCTTTTTGGGAACATTTTGTGTCTTTTGGAGGACATTTTGCATCTCTTTAGTGACATTTGTGTTTCTTGTGGACACTTTCTGTTTCTTTTAGGACATTTTTGTCTTTTTGGGATAGTTTATTGTCTTTAGATACATTTTGCATTGTTTTTGGATGTTTGTTTTTTTGTCATTTTGAGGACATTTGTGTCTTTTCGGGGGCAATTTTCACCTCCAACATAACATTTTACTGAAGTTCCAAGGATTGTATTTAAAGTGGCTTTAATTTATTTTTTGTCACCTAAGTGCAACCCAGCTTCAGTACAAAATACTAAATCTGAAATTTTCTCTCCTTGTGAAGTAATTGTCCTCAAACTGAATCTGTTTCTGGTGTTTCAGATGGAGGGGTACGCTACCAAAGTGAAGGAACTAGAGACTCTGTTCTCAGATATGGACGGTGGTTTAAAACCAGCCAACAGCGCTGAGATAGAAGCTGCTCTGAGAGCAGCTGAGGACGTGGTGGATGACCTGCAGGACGACACGAAGCTGCTGGCAGGTAAGCTGTTATGTTGGGTTTGTTTTATGCCTCTTTAGACACATTTTCTACTGTTCATGGATGCTTTTTGCCTGTTTGAGGACATTTTATGCCTGTTTGGGGTCTTTTTTGGTGTTTTGGGGATCCTTTATGTTTACTGTGCATGTCGTTGAGAATATTTGTATCTCTTTGGGGTTTTTTGTGTCTCTGTGTAATATGTCTTTGAGGTTGTTTTATGCCTCGGTGGGTACAATATGCATTGCTTGTGGATGGTTTCTGTCTGTTTAAGGAGATTTTGTCTTTTTGGGGTCTTTTTTGTGTCTTTGGGGACTTTTTAACATCTCATAGGTTGTTTTTCACCTTTTGTGGATATTTTGCAATGCATGGGAGGAATTTTGCATTGTTTTTGAATGTGTTTTGTGTCTTTAAGAATGTTTAATGTTTCTTTTAGAGTAGATAAAGCTATGAAAATAATTAAAAGAAAAACAAAATTTGAAGTTGGTCATTTGAAATGTTCAATCAATTCTCCCAGTTCACTCATTGTACATATATTTTCTGTCAAGGACTTTAATTTATAAAAGGTGTCAGATTTTATCAGCTCATAAAGTGCTTTATTTGCCAAAATCTTAATTTTGAGAAGTTACTAAAGCTGTGAAATAAATGTGATAAAAAAAAAAAAAAGTAGAACAACATCTGCACTGACATGTGGCAGAGTTTGTACTTGAGCAAATGTACTTGGTTATGTTGGGTTTTCTAGCAACATCTAGTGGGCATCAGAGAAACTCATGAGCTCATAAATCAGTTATGGAGAAAATGCCATGTGATACAATGCAGTTTTGTGCTGATGACGTTTCACCATCTGTACCTGACAGAGATGGAGAAAAGACTACAGACTCGCCTGTCGGCCATCAGCAGGAGTCAGCTGTCCGAGGAGCAGGACATCCAGAACATCGCAGACAAAGCAGACGATATCAAACAGCAACAGCAGATGTACAAGATGAAGGTGGAGGAGGTCCAGATGCTGACGGAGGAGATGAAACGCAAACTGGACGAGGCCAAAAGCAAACTGAGAGCGGCTGTAAGGCTTCAATCTGACAAACACGTAGCCCAGGAAGTTAAATGATGACTTACTACATTTTCAGTTTTTGCAACATTATTTTCTTTTAAGCATAGTTTTAGTCTTTACTACAGATAACAGTGTAGAGAGCAGAGAGACATCAGGATAGATGTTATTTTTCAAATATATACACCTCAGATGAAGATTTAAAGCATCCAGAAGAAGTTTAAAGTGAAATTGCTGCACCTAAACTTTGAAAGCTGAAGGGGTTCGGACATCTCATTAGGGTGCCTCTTGGGTGCTTTGCTTTAGAGGCAGCTGAGGGAAGATCTGGCCGTAGATCCAGAACTCACTGGAGTGATTGTACAGCATCATCTTGCCTGGAAGTCCCTCAGGATCCCCCGAGAGGAACTGAAACATGTTGCTGAGGAAAGGGAATGAAGTGATCTGCTTAGGCCAGATCTAAATTTTGTTATCTCCCCAAGTCCTTGACAGTTCGTTAGCAGCCTAAAAATGTATTCTCGCACAGACTGTATGCATCAAGGGCAAAAGAGTGCATGCTTGTCAGTACCATGGATGCACAGAATACGAAGATCTGACCTACTGTGCCTCCATGTAAAGAGTTTTTCCAAGGGGACTCCTGCAAAATAGAAAAGTAGCAATAACTATGCATCCAAAGACGCATAATCAAGGTTTTAACCTGCTTCCAACGCAATTAGCTAAGAGTTGTTAGCAAAAACCTGACGCTAGTTTCAAATGTGTGTTCTGATCAGTGAAAATATTTTGTGTATTTGAGAGTAAACAGAGATGATGTGTGACTTGCGAGGGTATTGCGCTTTATGGTTGCCACCTTCACGCTCTGAAGCTTCTCAGTAAACTTAATGCTAACACAAACTCAAACTTTTCTTTGCATTATGTTATTTTTCATGATCAGCTTACAACTAGATGCTATGGATCAGCAAGTTTGCAGGCAGGATTATTTTCTTGTGAATTAGCCAATACTGAAGCTGAGGAATTTGATTAATCGGAAATCTGAAGGACAATCTCAGAGTTGTTTGTCACAAAATGTTTGAGGAAAGTCCTGACAAACTAACTTATGATGATGATTTCATCTTGTCTGTTTCCTATCAGGAGCTTCCTCTTGGTGATGCCCCACTGGGTTCGAACGCTTTGTCGTCTCTGGTGCAGACAGCTACAGATCTGGCTGGCAAGTAAGTGCTGATGTGTTCATGACATTATTAGATTTGTTTACCTTTATTACCAGCACTAATTCTTTTCCTCTCACCATTCAGACATCAGACACAGGCCAACATTGTGGAGAAAACTGCCAATGAGGCCCTGAGCGACTCGAACAAGGGTCTGGCTTTGGTCCGAACTCTCATGAACAGAGAGAACAAAGTCAAAGAGCTCATTGGAGATCTGAAAACAATGTGAGTAGCTGCTGGCTGATATAAAGATTGTGGGTTATGAGTGTTGCAACAGGCAGTTCTAAGTCCATCCATCCATTATCTATACACCGCTTAATCCTCACGAGGGTCGTGGGGGGGCTGGAGCCTATCCCAGCCGACTTAGGGCGAAGGCAGGGGACACCCTGGACAGGTCGCCAGTCTATCACAGGACTACACTTAGAGACAGACAACCAAGCACACTCACATTCACACCTATGGACAATTTAGAATCACCAATTAACCTCAACATGTTTTTGGACTGTGTGGGAGGAAGCCGGAGAACCCGGAGAGAACCCACGCTGCACGGGGAGAACATGCAAACTCCACGCAGAAAGATTCCGGTGCCCCCACCGGGACGCGAACCGGCAACCTTGTTGCTGCGAGGCAACAGTGCTACCAACTACGCCACCCTGCAGCCCCAGTTCTAAGTCACAGACTTTTAATATGCTTTAAATGAGGATGGAACACACTTTCAGATTTGTGCAACATTACAACTGACAGAGTTCCTCCAGGAATAGATTCAGACTCAGAGCTTCCAACTGGGGAAAAGCTGTGGCTAAAAATGGGGGTTGATTTCTGCAGAACTTCAAGGGTTAAACTCAGTTAATTTTGCATTTTGGATCCATCGTTTATTCATTCAACAGCTGGTCCAATTTTTTTGTTTGTAATTGCGACAATGAAGCCTCCTGAATATCATACTCTGATGTTAAAAATCGAAATATTCCTAACTGGTGCTTGTGATGTAATCGTATAGATTCTCTAAAGGATTTAGGATACTCAAGGCAGAATCTTCCTCTACATGTATGTTGATGACTAAATCACCTGTTTTGTTTATGTCCAGGTATGATCAAACTTCTGCTCGGGTAAAGGGTTTGGAGGACCAAGCAGCCCGTCTGAGTGGCGAAGCCAAAGATGAGAGTAAAGTGGCAGCCGGCATGTTGAAAGGCATCACCAGCATGGAGCGAAACATCCCGTCACCCATGAAGGTGACGACTGCTGTTGGACAACACGTTGTTTTGGAATATGATCCCACTGTTGAGCGTCTTTGACTCCATGTGTTCTCCTGTGATTTTCAGGAGGAGGCGGACGCCATGGTCTCCAGGTTGGATGGAGTGAAGAAGGCTGTGGATGACAACATCTCTGGCTTTGAGGATTTGCAAGGCAACGTGCAGCGAAACACGGCCGCTGCTGAGGATCTGCTGGTCGATGGCAAAGCTGCCCAAAAGGTACTGAAGGATTATTGGGATCCAATAAGACATTTAAATTTACCAAACCCAGCTCTGCTCTGCTGGAATCAAAATGCTAAAAGGACAAAACCAACTTTCGAACCAACAAATCCACACAGATTCTTTGTCTATTTTCCACAATCTGGTGCTGTTCAAACTCAGTTGACCTCTGACAGTTCTAGAAAAGTGCAGTTATAACAGAAGAAATAACACTTTAGCTGTGTTGTGTCATTGACATTAACTCACTGCAGTAACCCACTCGCAAAAGTATGGGTAGAGAAGGCAAAAGTATTACGAGATAACGCAAGGTAACACAAAAGTATTGTGAGGTAGTTCAACCGTATTGCCAAATAATGCAAAATGTATAGTAGGAGAGTGCAAAGGTATTGCAAAGGAACACAAAGTATTGCAAGGTAATGCAAAGTATTGCAAGGAAAAAAAAAAGTATTGCAAAGTAGGGCATCCACTATAATCCACTGTGCTAATCCACTCCAAAGGTATACTTAGGGAATGCAAAAATAAAACAAAACTTATTGTGAGGGAACACAAAATATTGTGCGCTAATGCAAAATGTATTGTGAGGAAACACAACAGCTATTGTGAGGTGACGCAAAAGTGTTGTAAAGTAACACAAAATGTATTGTAAGATAGCTCTTAAGTATTGCGAGGTAATGCATGATCCATAGTGAGGTAGTGTAAGACTTAGCAAGGAAATGGAAATTTTACTTTGAGGTAATGCAAAAAGTATTGCGAAGAACAACAAATGTATTGCAATATAACAAAACTCATTACAAGGTAACACAAAAGTACTGTCAGAAAACGCAAAAGTATTGCAAGGTAATGCAAAAGTAGTCCTCAGAAGATTTTGGCTTTGAACTTTAGCTGTGATTTAACTGCTTGATCTTTGTCTGCAGGAGTTCGGCCAGTTGCTGGAAAGAGTCAACGCTGCCAAAGGCATCACAGAGGGCGCCCTGCCACGCATCAATGGCTACACCAACGATCTGCTCAACACCCTCAACACCCTCAAAAGTAAAAACACCGACCGACAGACCAATTGAAAAAATATTAACTTGCATGAATGAATCCACAGACTGAGTGTGACTCTTTCTCCCTCACAGGCTTTGACCAGCAGATTGACGGCAGCAAATCTCTGGCTGACGCCGCCATCAGTCGTCTTCCTGGCATCAACAACACCATCCAACAGGCTGTTAGAAACAACGCCGAGACACTGTCCGCCCTTGGAGACGTGTCCAAAGACTATGACAGCGCACTGGGAGCGATCAATGTCCTGAGCAACCTGGTCAACAATCTGGAGGTAAGACACTGGCAGAGGGAAACTGTTCGCGTAGCGCCAGCAAAAGTCAAAATTAAACCAAAATCATTCAGTGGGGAAATTTTCAACCAATGTATGTAATAAATTAGTTTGTCAGCGGAAAATATTTATGAGAAATTAACCCTTTAGGTACATTTTCACAGAAAATTAAGCCTTGTGGGTCGAAAAATTTCTGCCTTTTTGTAGTCATACATGAGAACGAAAACAATGTTTGGGTTTTGACTGTTGATCAGACAAAACAAAACATTTTAAAAATGTCACTTCTTGCTTGCTTTGGGAACTTCTGACATTTTATGGACCAGATTTTTACTATTTATTGGATGAACCAGTAATTCTTGTCTTTATTCTTCAGTTAACCACAGGGTCGCTGCCGTCTCATGCCGGTTTGGCGAATAAAGCCACCAAACTGAACGGGGAGGCCAAGGACCTGAAGCAGAAGGTTGACGGTGTAGCTGGAGATCTGGCCTTGAAGCTGGATAACGCTAAGAGGCTGGAGGGCAGCGCAGAGAAGGTAAAGTATCCACACATGGACAACCTGTTGGAAAAAAAGATTCATGAACAAAGAAGGACACCAGCTAAATAATGTTTCTTCTGCAGGTGGCTTTTGATGCGGCTGCAGCTTTTAACAATGCCAGGCAGACCAGAGACACTGTTGGAAAAACACTGCAAAACATCCACAATCTGTTGGCTAGTATGAGTAAGTTCTGGAATTTTATAGGTTGTTCCTCCTGGGAGTTTTAACATGATCTTTAAGGGCTGTTTTCTGGTAATTTGTTAGAAGATGCAGAAATTAAAAACTTAAGTACCTAAATATCAAATGAAAAATCTGCCATTAAATTTTTTATTGGAATTTGCCCTAATTGGACATCACTGGAAAGCACAAAGCCTCACAGTTCAAATGTTGTTAATGTTTTTATGACACCAAAACTACAGCAACAAAGCAAGAGTGTCTTACTTTGTAATAGGAGTGCGCACATGGCTTAACAGTAGTTTCTTAGCTTCTCTTTTGTCTATAAACCCATATTGTTTGGATCAGTGTACAATATTTTCTGCACTGTAAATAGTTCAACAAGCTTGTAATCTTTCTTTTTTTCAATACAAAAAGGGGCAACATCAAAGGGTTAAGATTCACCTTAATTCACCTCTTATTCAGCTTAAATCATCTGATTAGGATTTTACTTTTGTACACATGATGCACAATATAAAAGTTAACATACCTTGACAGAATGCAAAAATGAAGAGAAGGGCAGAAACCCCTAAAAGCTTGATTTGTACTCGCTTTAATGCATTTTCTACTCAATTAAAAAGAAAGGGCAAAAAAAACATGAAAGATTTGCAAAAAAGTAACTTCTGTATTTTAAACAGAATGTAAAACTCAGACTTATTTAGAAGTTTTTACAAGGACATGTGTTTTAGAAAAACTGGTATCTTCAAACCACTGCGAAATGCTGCCTTCTTACTTAGTACACACTTCTTCTTCTCCTCAGACCAGCCTGATGCTGTGAATGAAGAGGACCTGAAGCGACTGGAGGACACACTTGCCAACGCTCAGAGAGACATGGAGGGCAGTCTGAGGCCTCGACTCAAGGACATGGAGCGACTGGAAGCCGCCCAGCGCAGCCGGCTGACTGGGATCAATCAGGACATCGACACCATCCTGGCAGACATCAATAACCTGGAGGACATCCTGAGGTCCATCCCCAATGGCTGCTATAATAGCCCCCCCATTGAGGAGGCCTGAGGGTCCTCAACTGCTAAGACTTGGTAACCTGCTCAGACTCTCCAGCTGCTGAGACTCATCACCTGCTAAAACTCTTTATCGAGACTTCTTAATCTGCTAAGACTGCAACCAGCTCAGACTCTTTTTCTCGTGAGACCCTACCTGCTTAGACTCGTCAACTGCTGAGATTTGATAACCTGCTGAGACTCGTCACCTGTTCAGACTCTTTACTTCGACTCCTTGATAGGTTGAGACTGGTTAACCCGATGAGACTGCACTTGCTGAGACTCGGTAACTTGCTCAGACTCGTCACTTGCAGAGATTTGTAAATCTGCTGAGATTTGGTAACCTGCTTAGACTCATTAACCTGCTGAGACTCGTAAGTGATATGTTACGCCTTTATATTTCTGATAATGATGTGATGTGTGTTAATGTAATAATATTTATAACTGTACAGACAGTGTCACTTTTTAACCTTTATGAATTCAGTGTTTTAATTTGTTCTGTTGCCAAATGTGTTGAGTCACTATTGTGACTGACCAGCTGGAATGTTTATAATTATCCTGAAAGATTTTAAATAAAAGCTACTGCACTTTTTTCTGATGTAAATCTCATTATTTATCACTTTGATGACAGGTTTTATGTCGCAATCACGTTTTAGAACTGTACAGAGCTCTCTGTAGTTCAGCCACATCACACCTTGTGTCAGGATTAGCCACAAGAACCAGAAAAGAAGAATTCAAATGATTTTCCCATTTGTTTAGCTGGTAAAATTAGGTGTTTTTAAAAAAATAAATTTAAAAAAAAATCTCAATTGTCATCCAGTGGTGAAAACCAAACCGAACATGTTGCCTTTTTTCCGATATTTGACTTGGGTATAAAATCTAAACAAGCTATTCTTTAATCTTTTGTGTGTGTGTTAGAGTCATAAATAAATGGTAAAATAATGAATAGTTGTTTCATTTTCTTATGTTTCTGAGCAAATGGCACATGAACATACACTTCATCCTAAATTAAATGGAGTCTGGCCTGGACAAGTGCGCTCTATCTACTGGTAAAGACGCTTGGAAGAAGACTGAATAAGTAGATTTTGATCATTTCCTCAAAGAAATATTTTATTTTGCCAGCAGTGAGGTGTGAATGTAGCCACAGTTTTAAATCAATAAACAACCAAACTCCCTTTTTTTTTTTTTTAAATGAAATTCAGCTTCACTCATTCCTCCTTCTTCTCTCCTTTGAGATTCATTGATGCTTTGCTATTGTTACTCAAAATTTTCTGTCCTGATCTGTAAACACGGGTTTGTGCCGATAAATCTCAACACACACACACACACACACACACACACACACACACACACACACACACACACACGCACACACACGCACACACACACAGATTTAAAATGTCATTTTTAACAGTGCATCACAGCTTACAATCAGAAGAAGTCAGCGCAACAAAACAAGGCAGATTAATAAGGAAAACTAGATTCGTTTTCAGCTACATAATACAACAGATTGTGACTGTCAGGAAGCTAAAATCCTGCAGACACACACAAACACACACTCACGCACACATGCACACACATGTAGAAATCATTGCAAACATTTTACACTGATGACATCTGTACATTTACAGAGTGAATAGAAAATGGACAGACGTGGGAGACGATGAGCCCCACTGTAGCTATATTTTATTAATATTTAGAGATATTTATTTTTTGTGTTCTTTCTTTTCTTTTTTTGCAAACACGTTCACAACAGATCAGAATCTACCGAGTGATAAACGTTCATGCCAGAACCAAACTGTCTAAGCATGCAGTCTAAGAACAGGAGCAAACAAAGAGGAAACAAAACAATCTGAGACTCAATCTGTCAACAACAACAATAACAACATGGCTGCTGCTGCTGCTGCTGAGCATCACATCTTTACAAAAGAAGGTACCATCATAATCATCAGAGGGCCAAATGATGCCCTGCAGTCTCCTTCATCTCTGTCTTCAAACTACAGCCTGAAGCATCAGAACCGCTGCTACGGTTACCTGCGCTGGTCGAATTGAATCATCTTCCCGTCACGTGTGTGAAATTTTTGAGATTTAGTGATTCTGAGACAGCAGCGTACTTTGCAGGAAAACAACAGGCCTCAGGCAAGAAACACTTTCATGTTCCAATGTCATCTCAGATGAGTTTTCTTGCAAACAAATTTACACCACAGATTGTATGAAAACATGGATGCAACAAGATGCAATGTCTTGTTAACTCTTGATGACTAAATTTTCACTTTTAGAACATTAGTGAAGAACCTTTAGAAAAAACATTCTGGGCTCTAAAAACTGGAAACACGAGGAAAACTTTGCAGGTCTAATTATCTTTGGATTTATCTGGGTCAGGCAAGCTCAGATCTCCTCTTAGGCTAAGTCCTGATAAATGTTTTTCAGACATCTGGATGGAGCAGAGTGAAGTTGCTGCTACATCCCATCAAAAGGAACCAGTTTGAGCATCTGATTAAAAGTCTTCCTGGGCGACTTCGTTTGGAGGTTTTCCAGGTGGAAGAGGTCGACCCAGAACACTCTAGAGGGAGGGAGTATGTGTCTCATCCTGCCTGGGAACACCTCAGGATCCTAAAGAAGGAACTGAAAAGTGTTTTTGGGGCGAAGGACATCTGGAATAACCTGCTTCACCTGCTGTCTCCCCAGAAAGCAGAAAAACAAATGGATGAATTGATTGTTTTTTTTAAGATTTGGTTCTGAAGCTATTGATTTTAAGTTTTTCAACTTGAGGGCTACACTGGGTTCTGCAGAATCCAAGTGCAGAAACAAGCGGTCAATAAATGTGGCCTCTGGGATTTACTGCGACCAGAAAGATGGAGTCAAGAAATGACATCGAAAAGAAGATTAAAACAGGTTTTTACAATACAAAGGTAAAACAAGTCCGACATGTGAATACATTTCCTAGTTGTTACTGACTGAGATGGAAAATAACTGGACTTCACTTTGGTGATAAAGCACTTCTTCCTGCATATACTCAAAAAGAAGAAGAAAAAAAAGGTATTATCAAGAAATAACTGAAATGTAAACTTTCTGCATTAGAATAACACATTCTTATGAGGGTAACTGTCATTACAGGCAGGTATGCATCTTGTCATTAGTACTACACAGTAAACAGTTGGGCTTTCTCTGCAGGATAGGAGAAAATCAGTTGAATTCTACATTGTGTCATAAAAGTTTGCAATCAGGAGAAGACAGTTAGGTGAGCATTTCAGTGGGATTTGTAAGGGCCTTCACTTCAGGCTCTAATTGTGTTAACTACCACTCGGTTGAGGAGGCATAAAGATATTTCAAAGCAATACGGTTGGCTGGCACCAAAATGAAAGAAAAATGTAGAATTATGAATACAACTTTAATCTGTTTTGATAAAATGTCACTGAGGTAACAAAAAAATTTCAGGATGAAAATTAAATCCTTTCTGGGCAGCAATGAATGCCAAGATGAACTTTAAATTTTGGGGATGGTGTTTAATTTTTAAGGTGAAGCTGCACAGAAAGTCCAAAGTCTGACAAACAAACTGTCGGTACGAGCGGTTCTTTCATGAAGCCTGCTAACGCTGCCATTTTTCTGCCCGGATGTGTGTCATGCATCCCCCAACCTGCCGTCCTCCCCCAAAAATACACCCCCCTCCCTCCCTGATGGTAGAGTCACATGACACAGACAGAAGGAGGGACACTAAAGCTCCTGTTGGAAAGCGACAGCTCAAAGAAGAGTATATGTTTGACACAGAAGACAGACAAGGAAGTTTTAGTTTTCAGGGAGGGGAGGGGTTACAGTATATTTATATAGGTGATGGTTGTAGGTACCCCCCACCACACCTCCACGCTTCCTGTTTTCATGCTGCAGGTCTTTATCCCGAGGCGTTGATGTACAGCTGACTCTGCAGGATGTAGTCGATGACTGGCTGACTCAGGTAGTCCACTACGTGGCCGTCACCGTGCTGCAGGGCCAGTCTGCAGGGAATCAAATAGAACGTCAGTCTTCAGATTTTATATTCTAACCTCCAATTCATGCTTTTTGTGTGTCCGCAAAAGTAAACATGACGTCAGTTTTGTCCACGAGGATCCACACAACCCCTCTGCAGACGACGATTTGTTTCATCCATCCATCATCTATACACCGCTTAATCCTCACGAGGGTTGCGGGGGGGCTGAAGCCTATCCCAGCTGACTTAGGGCGAAGGCAGGGGACACCCTGGACAGGTCGCCAGTCTATCACACTTAGAGACAGACAACCAAGCACACTCACATTCACACCTACGGACAATTTAGAATCACCAATTAACCTCAACATGTTTTTGGACTGTGTGGGAGGAAGCCGGAGAACCCGGAGAGAACCCACGCTGCACGGGGAGAACATGCAAACTCCACGCAGAAAGATTCCGGTGCCCCCACCGGGACACGAACCGGCAACCTTGTTGCTGCGAGGCAACAGTGCTACCTACTGCGCCACCTTGCAGCCGATTTGTTTCACATGAAATCATATAAGAAAACACAATAATAATGACATTTTTCTGCAGTATTAAACCTGATTATTTACATCATGGCATTCAAATCAAATCAAATCAAAGTTTATTGTCATTTTGCTGTACATACACAGTAGTACAGGCAAGATGAGAGAACGTTTCTTCAGGATCATTTCATTAGTAAGTTTTGCGGAATGAACGTCTGGGATAGGCAAGACACTAAACGTTCTCTCTCGCTGTCTCCTGAAGGGGCCGCTGCGTCCATGCATGCCGCCATCACGTTGAACATGGCGAACCTCTTCAGGTCCTGGTAGGTCTTCAGGGACACAAAGACACACATGATGGTGTGACGATGGTGAAGTCGCAGATGCTGCCCAGAGCTAGCTGCCTGTCTGTCCACCCAGAACGATGTCGTCCCCTCCAGCTGTATGGCCGTGCCTGGGATGTTGTCATAGAGCCATGCCTCCGAAAAAGCAAACACACAGCAGTCTTTCCACTCTCTGTGGGTTTCTCTCAGCAAACGTAGCTCGTCCAGCTTGTTGTGGAGGGAGCAGACATTGGAGAGTAGGAACGACGGTCCTGCTGGTCTGGAGGGGTTAGCCTTTAGCCTAGCATGGATCCCAGCTCTCTTCCTCCTCTTTTGTTTACGTTCGTACCGTTAGTACTTCCCTCTCTCTCGGGTAACTGCCAGCGCAGTCTCGATCAGACTCCGTGTTGATGTCCAAATCACAACCGATCGCCACAATTCCAGCGTCGGTCACTGTCCTGACGCCCAGCAAAGTCTCCCAGTCGGAAGTTTTGCGGAATGAACATCTGGGATAGACAAGACACTCAAAATGTTCACTTTCGTTGTCTCCTGAAGTGGCCGCTGCGTCAATGCGTGCAGTCATCACCATGGCAACCATTCAGCCATATTAATAAGTAACTTCATTATTTTTACACATGTAGGAAAACCTTCATGAAAAATTTAAATGATACAACTGTTATGTGCTGGGGGCACATTTTTTCACCCTTTATTTTAGTTTTCATATTTCCCCCTCCTTTTTGTGTTATTGGAGCATGTTTAGTTTACTTTTTTTCAGTAATTGATTAAGCCACGGCTCCGCCTATAAATAGGCTGGATTTTTGTTCTCTCTCTCTCTTTTCTGGGCCGTAACAACAACATACACATTACATAAAATGAAAGCAAGAAACTGCACTTTAATTATGTAGAAACACTCTTTATGAGATGGTAATTTTTTTGTTATTTTACAGTAGTTTTGGGCGCACTAGCTGCTGGAATATTACTTCTCTCTCTCTCTCTATCTCTCTCTCGCTCTCTCTTTTTTTTTTTTCTTTACAAAAAACCAGTCTGTTAGTAGACATATACTGGATTACTGTATGGCCATTGTACATTTCTCCAAAATGTTCAAATATTTTTTCTCTCGCCTCATCTTGTGATGTACATTGCATACAGTGGAGCTTTAAAATGCACAAGTACAAAAGACCTCAATAAAAAAAAAATTAAAAAAACAACATAACATCATGAACATAACTTGTAATAATACAATTATTCGATCAGTGAACACAACCTGGATAAACAGCAGAACATAAATGTACAGAATGGTTAAATTGTAAAAAAACAAAAACAAAAAAAAAACAAAAAAAAAAACAAAAAGGATAAATAAATACATTTTAAAATTGGGTATTTTCTTTACTATAACAGTTTAAAGTAATATTTCTACTTGAAATCAGTGCTTTGAAGCCCTTTAAAGACCTGGAGGATCCCTGTTAAACTCTCCAGACCTGCAGTTCTCTACCTGACCACCAGATCTCCTCAGTTTCCATCCATCATCTATACACCGCTTAATCCTCACTGGGGTCGGGGGGGGGCTGGAGCCTATCCCAGCCAATTTAGGGGACACCCTGGACACGTCGCCAGTCTATCACAGGGCCACACTTAGAGACAGACAACCAAGCACGCTTACATTCACACCTACGGACAATTTAGAATCACCAATTAACCTCAACATGTTTTTGAAAGATCCCGGTGCCCCCATCGGGACGCGAACTGGCGACCTTCTTGCTGCGAGGCAACAGTGCTCTCCTCAGTTTTTCCTGACAATTTACTGTCTTTTTGACCCTCTGTAAGACAGAAGTTTGTAAATTACATCACTTCCTCCAGCACAGTCTGAACTGTTTGAAGCGTTGTGCTGCAAAGCTACAAATCCTGCCCTCTGTAATGTGAAGGAAAAACCTAAAACAAACTTTGTCACAGTCTACAGCAGCACAAACATGAGTGCTGTTACGGACTTTTTTTTGTTCAATATCTGTGTGTTTATTCCCACCTGCTCTTGGTTGAGCTGACAATGGCCATTGGGTGGTTCGTTGCATCCTTCACAACAGTTATGTTGTCCTGAAACAGAAGAACAGCAGAGAGGTCAGCAGAGGAGATTTCTCAGGGTGAAAACGAGTCCGAGGTGAATGTTTTGTTCTCTTACCTTGTACTTGCGGAGGATGGAGGAGTGGTTCATGATCCTCTCTGTGTCGGCTCCATCACGGGGAACCACAACAATGCCAAAATCTCCAACGATCACCTCCATCTGAGAGCACAGAAACACGAGTGTTAGTGCTGAGAACGGTATGAAGGGTTGGAAGAGGAACTTCGGCTTCATGTGGTCACCTCAGGTCAAAATCATCTCATCTCATAGAAACTCCGGCTGTGTCTGAAATCAGTCACTCCTGTACTGTGTTGTGTGTTCTCTATTTTGTAGTGCTGAACGAATGTTAGAACCTCTATAGTGCACTCAAAGTGTCCTTACAGCAAATAGTCACCAAACAATATGTACCATCATTCATTGCTTCTAAGAATGAAGGGCAGATGCTTGACAGAACCAATTGGTGGTATTTCCACAGATTTCTAACTATTTTATAGTGTTAAGACATATTTTCTTATGAGTATATCTTTTTATCTTTTTAGAGAGTCAAAATGACGACACACACGTGACAAATCCTGAGTTACTGCAAGAAAGCATTCCAAGAAAAAAGAAAAAAGTTATTTTAATTTTAATTTTTATTTTAATTTTGGAAAATACACTGATTATAACATGAATTTATCACAAACATGCCAGTCAGTTCCCTACATTAGCCAGCATCGATCTGATATGTTTAAATTGAGCGACAGCAGTGATGTAATTAATAGCGCCCAGACTCAAGTAGTGTCCGAAGGTGTTATTTTTGCCATAGAGCTCCCTACATAGTTGACTATTTAGTGGTCGCTAGATAAAAAAAAAAAAAGGGAATGAGTGCATGATTTCAGACACAGCTCATGATTGGAGAGTTTGCTTGCTGAGTAGACGATTTGTAAAGTGTTTTCAGGTGCAGCTTTGGTGAGCTCTAATATTTGTGCTGTTGAGTATCAAAAAGCAACTTTTCACTGCAGGAACTCGAGGCAGGTAAGAGGTGGCGTTTACACAAACAGCAACTTAATCAACTCTTACATTCTTTCAGTTTCCATTGCGAAGTTGAATCCAACAGCTTGGATGGCAACATTAACTCCAAGTCAGAACAATGACAACAAGGAGTTACTGGACGCAACTCCAGATCTATGGAGGTTTGTCATCTTAACAAACCTCCATACGGTGAACATGGATCACTCCATGTTCACCACTACACCTCAGTTGTTGACACAGGAAAGTTTGATGCAACTTTTTAGTTCTCAACAGTCAACTGCAGACATTACAGAGACTTCCAGAACAGATATTCAAAGCTAAATCAAAGTAGTTTGCCACCTCAGGTATTCAAGAATTAACTGATTTATTGCTCTGTTTTGAGTAACTTATTACTTTGTGGCTGAAACTACAGAGACTGGAAAAGGACACAGGAAGATCATCTAAAAATCAGTGAAACACAGTTGCAGCAGTTATCAAGAGCCATAGTACCACTAATCAGAGCTGCAGTGGTCGTCCTCCTAAAATGACTCCATAGACAGTGGATTACTTTCACAACTGAGCTGTGAAAAACTGATGGCAGCTGCTTCAGTCTTGGCACACGGGTTATCAATGGAAATCAGAGTTTCTGTGAAGCTCAGACAGTCTGAAAGTTTATGTTTACAGTTTACAGTTTATGCCGTCAACCTCTATGGACGACATCTACAAAGATACATTTGTTGGGTTCAGATGATGTGCAGTATGTTTGGTGTGAACCTGACCAGGACTACCACAGTGAATGCATCATCCTGACAGTGAAGCACGGAGGAGGGGGTGTGAAGATATGGAGCTGCATGAGTGAAAATGTTTTTGGGAGAAGACATTTACAGATGAAACCATTAATATGTGTGGATAAACCACAATACATTCTGACAAGATGGCACAGTCTGCAGAAGCTTGAAGAAGCTTGAAGAAGAGGAATATTCCAGAATGAAAGCCATCCAAAACACAAAATCACTCAAGAGTTTCTAAAGAACGAAAAAGTGAGAGCTACGACCTGGACAAGAATGTCTAAACCAATAGAACAGCCTTGGGTCCTCGTAAAGACAAAGGTAGAGCAACAGAGCTCCTCCAGCAAAGAGCAGCTGAAAAGTTTTCATGTTTTTCATGTTTTGTTTTTGGTTTTTTTTCCGCAGTGTCATCTTTCAAACATTTCTCTCTGATTTTGCTGTTTAATACCTGGACACAAATGTGGTAAAGCAGTTGTTTGGTGAGAACTGCACTGCAGCTGTTTCCTTTGTCAGCAACATCGAAATGACCCACTGATCATTGCGATAGAGTCCTGGGCACTCTAGCTACAGGGGGCGGGTCTACATGTAGAAGGGGTCGGGGCTACAGTGTGCTTACATCACTGTCCTTCCACAGGCCAGGGATGCAGAAGGACTCCAGGAGATCACTGCCACACAGGAGCAAGATGCGCAACTCTACAGACGACAAACAGGCAGGAGGAAAAAGACACGTCCTCAGTAAACATCACGTTTACCGGATTTCAAACAAACCAGAAGGAGTTCAGACACAGCAGGAAGGAAAACCAGAGGACAAAACACAGCAGTCTGCTCAGGAGACCACTCACCAATCTCCTCGTATCTCATCGCAGTCCCCAGGTTGGCATTTTCATCTGACACAACGACACAAAACACGTGTAATTACACAAATTACACAGTTTCTTTCAGTATCTTTGTTTTAGTAATACAACACATTCTTGCTTTTCTGTTTGCTGAACACGTAAAGCAACCAATAAATGTTGTCGAAATGCAGGAAGACACATGAAGAGAACCCTAAATAAAAACCTAACTGGTTCATTCCATCTCAGTTCACCAAACTGTAAAAAAAAAAGTTCACACCTGACCATTTCATATTTGCTATTTTTTTTTTCTGTGGATAATTTATTAAGTAAAACATATGAAAAGTTTTTTGTGACACGTCTTGTAACTTTTTGAGTTGAAAAATCCTTAAAGAGGGGTGGAGTCATGTCGATTTTTTGCTAAATTATGGTTTTGCAAAATGCATATTACAGTAATTTTTTTTCCTCATAAATTATGCCTCTGACTAGCACCATACTCTACATTTTAAAGCTCCTACTGGTGCCAATCACAAGAAAAACAAAAAATCTACTTCTTAGGTGAAAAATAAAGGTATTATGGTTGGTGGAATATCGGCGTAGACGGAAACATTGACATTTTTTGTGCCGATTTGCACCATCATATAACTGATTTGTATTATTCAGTATTATTATTATTAGTCTCATTATTTCTGATGAGCCACAGATTGGTGCAAACAAAACAACACAAAAATCAACATGACCCACCTTCTTTAAGATTTTTTTTACTCAAAAAATAATGTTAACTATGAACCCAGATTTTACACATTGTCAACTCAATCAATAGTCACCACTTTAAAAAAAAAAAATCTGTCAAATTGAAGATGGTCAGGCATGGGGCATTTGGTCAAATAACAGATGAAAAAACTAAAAAGACAAAAAAACAAACAAAACTAAACTCACTTTCAGGCATTTCATGCAGCATTCAAACACTCATATTTCAGACACATTTTGTGGGTGTTGAAGTTTGATACTTGTCTCTACTGTATGTGCAGTAAAAACAGCACAAAGAGGAGGAATAATATTAATGCTAGGAGATGCCCATTATCAGGAATTAACAGACATGGACACTTTGAAGGGAATTATCCTGCTCATACAATGATCACATGCCAAATAAGAAAAAATTGAACATAAATGTATATTTTCATATGTTTTGCAATCAGTGTCTGAAGTATTCTACAAGCCGTAACTCCCTGAGAGCTAGAACAATCATTACCATCCCATTATGTTCTAATATAATGGAAACATTATACTCCAGTAAAGAGGACGAAGCTTTGACACGATCAGCAACCGGAGATTTTTCTAGTCCGCTCAACTTTTACAGCCCGGTCTGTCATTGTATTAACTGCCCATTTTATAGGTTTTATGTTAATTTCATTTTTCATGTTCTGTTTGGTTTAATTTAATATTTTTATTTTTTTCTTTCTTGAGCTGCAGCCCACTCATCAAAGTTGTCATAATCTCCAAAAACAAAATGACTAAATGATTAGTTTTTGTAACTAATTAGATGTCAGTTTGTTAATGTGCTCCAACAAGTTGTCAGTGGAAGCTTTAACTGCTTTGTTGTTGCTATGGTCACTTATTTAAAATTCAATACTAACCCAGACCACAGACCAATATATGAGACATGTGTCAGTTGGGATCCATCCATTATCTATACACCGTTTAATCCTCACGAGGGTCGCGGGGGGACTGGAGCCTATCCCAGCTGACTTAGGGCGAAGGCAGGGGACACCCTGGACAAGTCGCCAGTCTATCACAGGGCTACACTTAGAGACAGACAACCAAGCACACTCACATTCACACCTACGGACAATTTACAATCACCAATTAACCTCAACATGTTTTTGGACTGTGGGAGGAAGCCGGAGAACCCGGAGAGAACCCACGCTGCATAGGGAGAACATGCAATCTCCACGTAGGTTGGGATGATATACAAAATAAAAGTAATGAAAGATAATGGTATTATACATGCATATACAGTTGAAACCATAAGTTTACAAACACTATAGAAAAAGACACATAACCTTTTTTTTTAATCAACTGTCTGGCATTAAATCAGATTAAACTTTTTCTTTTTTGGTCAGTTAGGATTAATAAAAATATTTGAATTTGCTAAATTCCAGAATAATGAGAGAGAGATTTTTTGTAGTCACATTTAATGTCAGACGGTGAGAAAAAAAAGGTTTTATGTCTTTTATACAGTATATATAAACATCGGCTTTCAACTGTATATGGAGGAAACTGATAGATTAATTAAACTCCTGAAGCTTTTTATAGATGAACTGTGACCTCATGCCCTTTTTTTATTCCTTTTCTTATTCTTTCATCTCTCCCTGTTTTTCATCAAGCCTTTCCTCTGCAAACTTTACAAATTGTTTCTTCATATGACTTCAAGAAACTCATTTTCTCAAATCTACGCTTGTACATATAAGAAAACAAAATCCTCCAGATAATTTTAGCTCTTGTAATATTATTATATTTGTTTTTTTGTGTATTTGCTTTCTTGTGTAGTTCTTACTGTGTCCTTACCAACAAAGGTGAAGCGCTCGATGTGTGGGCGGACACAACAGATTTTGCCCAAACTCTCACTAATCTTCCCCCACAGTTTGACTGAGCAGAGAGTGACAGAGAGGAGAAAGTTTAAAATCTACTCCAGCACACATCAGTTCATCACCACAAATTATAATGGTATTTACTATAATGGTAATAAAACAGCATCAACATGTAAAAAGACGACAGCTGCATCTTTTTGTACTGATGTGTGAAGTTCTAACTCACTGGCTGTGGGGCTGTGATTCATGTTGTTGTGGTTCTGGTAGATGGGCGTGGTCTGGTTCTGTGGCTGACCAATCACAGGGGTGGTGGACGGTGTGTTGACGTTGGACAGGATGCAGCCAGTGACTCTCTGAGGAAACAGAAACATCATCAGAAATGGGTTTGAAATGAAGAACATAGCTACGTTTTAGATTTTATCTAATAACTACACACAGACGTTAAAGCCTCCAGCCAGACAGAACACTGACTTCCAGACAGAACTGGCCGACACCCACCTTCATGAGGTCACGGTGATGCTCCAGCACGCTGCAGGTGGTCTGCCAGGTGTCCTGATAACACTCCCAGGGGTCCACTCTGCACCGAACCCAACAAACACAATAATTTATTCTTGTAAGAGATGCCTAATAGCTAGGCAACAAGATAAGAACAAAAAATGAACAAAAAAAAGACAAAAAGAGACAAAAAATTATGAGGACATATATAAATTACTACAAACAGAGACGCGAGACAGCCACAAAGAGACACTAAACAACTACAAGAAAAACAGCAAAACTGATACAAAAAGAGACCCAGAATAACTCAGTAATCAGACGGAAGACTACTACAAAAAGAGACACCATACAACTACAAGAAGAACAACAACAACTATAAAATGACAACAAAAAATTACATAAAAAGAGATTTAAAACATCTCCAAAAAAGACGCCAAATGACTAGAAGGAGAGAGACAAGACAACTGTAAAAAGAGACACTAACCAAACTACAAATAGTCAGAAAATAACGACAAAAAGAACAGATGTAGAAAGTGATTAAAGACAACTACAAAGAGACATAAAAAGACTACAAGTGACAACAAATGGCTACGAAAAGAGACTCCTAATTACTACTAGGACACACAAAATGACTACAATAAGTTACACAAAAAAAGACGCCAACCAATCTATAAGTGACAAAATTACTTCACAAAAAGACATATGAAGAGATGAAAAACAACTACAAAGAGATGCAAAAGGACCCCAAAAAAGACAACTACAGAAAGAGATGCCAAATTACTACGTGGATGTACAAAATGATGACACTAAGTTACACTAAAAGAGATGGTAAGCAAACAAGGAGGCATAAAAGGACTACAAAAAGCAACAAAAAGTGATGCTAAATGACTACAAAGTGATGCAAGACAACTACAAAGAAACGTAAAATGACAACAAAAATTAACATTAACAGATATGCTAAATCCCTACAAAAAGAGATGCCAAATGACTACAAGGACACAAAATGACTACATGTTAGACAAAGCTAGAAGCAAGACAACTGCAAAACAGACACTGACCAAGGTGACATAAAATTATTCCTAAAAGAGACACAGAAAGTGATGACAAACCATTACAAGGAAACAAATTACGATAAGAATGCTCAAAACGACACAAAAAGTTATTCAGGACAACCACAAATAGACAACGACAAGGAGACACAAAACAGCTGCAAAAAGTGACACCAAAAGAGATTCCAGTTAACTGCAAGAAGACATAAAATGGCTAAAAAGAGAGACACAAGAGCAACACAATGTCCAGCTGATAAAAGTAAAGGAGATTAGATGAAATTTAAAAAAGAATAAAAATAAAAAATTGATTTGGATGCAAGAGCAGACACTGCTCTGAAAATGAGCAGGACACAAATACAATAATCTTTCAGCTAAAACAACCCAAACAGGTAGAAGCTTTTACTGTGAAAAAAGATGGAGGGCATCTAACCTGATCCAGTCAGAGGACTGGACAGCGAGCTGACACATAGTGAGACGATGTCTGCTTGACACGAGACCCTGCGGACACACAAAGCAGCACAATCAGTCCACAGTTGCACACAATCAGCACAACATCTGGACTGAAACGCCTGCACAGAGACTCAGATTATCTCCTTTAATCTTTACTTTTCATTCTCAGTGAGTGATGACACTAATAAAGAGGCCACTGCCAAACATGCTCTGTTGGTTAAACAAGGTGTGAAGGTCCGGAACAGGCTTCTTTCATCATTATTAAACAGAAAAGCAGCAGGAGATAAAACAAGTCGAAAACTGATACAAGCTCAGATTATCACCTGGATGTGTCTAAAGCAGCTGCATATGAGGAAATTGTAAAACAAAACCAGCCATTGTTGTCTGGCAGGTTTGTGAGTCATCAGCTTGTATCAGGTCCGACATAATATTGATGTGAATGACCTCAATCACTAGTAATCCACTGCAGGTATAGATGTTGAAACTTTTTTTTTTAAAACGACATTTGAAATAAGCAACAAAGATTCCTGATGTGGCTGAAACTGGATTTCTGTAGCATCTATTATTCATGTTGTGTGTTTCTATAGAGGCAGAGCAAAAGTAGGACAAGACCTTCATTAATTCCAGCAGGGAACAGAATGGAAAACAACAGCATCAGCAGCAGCAGTATAGAGCTGCAGCTGCAAACTGTGTGGTGTTTTTTGTGAGACTGACGGAGTCAAACACATAAAACAACCATCTGCCTATAAGGCAAATTAAGCTTTATAATTAAATCATGTTTCTGTGACCTTCTCGGAGTATTAGGAAGCATTTCCAGTCATCAGAAACTCTGTTTGTTCAGGATGAATATGAGTCAGATCAGGCTGGTGAATACAGGATGCATCAGCAGTGAGTACAAACCCGTGCAATATGACATTAATGTCAAGGGATTCTAAACTGCATCACATCCTCTAAGTTGAACAGTAGCTACTTGCTCTGATATAAGATTAAGAACTAACTGTTTAAATGTATTATATTAAAAACACAGGCCCTACAGTAGGAACTAAATGCAACAAAAGTCAGAGCATCTTTCATTACGGGGATTCAAAACATATTTTTTCAGTAATTTTTCATCCTCCTTTATGTTTATGACAGACTCAATGCTCCTCAGCATGGATGATCCCAGAGTCCACTAATTTCTGCACACGTTTTCACATTCTTCACAGAGAATGTATTTGTTAGCTTATCTTTGCTGGAGGGTTTGTGTTGCCTTTCTCTACCTCAAAATTGTTCTGTTGGATTCAAGTCTACATTAAAAACTGGGCATTGGATGGTTTTCATTCTGCAATATTTCACTTCTTCAAGCTTCTGCAGACTGTGAGTCATCTTGTCAGAAAGTATTATGTTTTGTCCACAGACATTCATGGTTTTCTATAAATGTACTCAACAACTTTTGCCCTCATGCAGCTCCATATCATCTCCCTCCCTCCTCCGTGCTTCACTGTCAGGACTATGCATTCACTGTGGTAGCCCTGGTCAGGTTCACACCAAACATGCTGGACTCCATCTGAGCCCAAAAAATCCATATTCATCTGACCAAAGAATGTTCTCCAATCGTCATCAGGCTTCTCTTCATGTTCTTTAATCATCCAGTTTTGTGCCGAGGAGCAAACATTGGTGTTTCTCTTGTCCGTTGTCCATAGAGACTGATGTTCTGACGTGTCCTTGAAACTCTCTGAGCTTCACAGAAACTCTGATTTCCATTGATAACTCCTGTGTCAAGTCTGAAGCAGCTGCTGTTTTTTACAGCTTGATTATGAAAGTTGTCTGTGGAATCATTTTAGGAGGATGACCACTGCAGCTCTGATTAGTGGTACTAAAGCTCTTTCTGTTTCACTGATTTTTAGTTGATCTTCTTTTATCCTTTGTCATCTTTTGCAAAGCCTCACAATCAGATTTATCAGCATCTCTGGCAGTTGTTTTCCATGTGTAGTCATGGTGCAGACATGCAGACAGACACAGTCACTTTCTGCTTTGGCCCTGCATTTTCGATATCGTCTTTCTAAAATATTTGTTTTTAAATGTTAATAAGAGCAAATACTATGCTGTTCAGTTATTTAGAGCTGTTACAAGCAGAAAGTGACAAGGGCATACTGTCAGTAAAAACAATAAATGATTAGAAACAGTAGGAGTGGGCACCTGTTAAATAACAGACAGGTATGTGATGAATACAGTGTTAAAAGGCGCCTTTGTGTGCAGCTGAATGCAGCTTTGAGTAAGGAAAACATACTGGACCTCATCTGAGCCCAACAAATTTATCTTCATCTGACCAAAGAATTTTCTCCAACATCCATCAGGCCGATTTTCGTGTTCTGTAGCAAAGTTTCATCTTGCAGTTTTGTGTCAAACCGCACACAGGGGCGTTTTTCTTGTCCTCTGTCCATAGAGGTTGATGCTCTGAAGTGTCCTTCACACTGTCTGAGCTTCACAGAGACTCTGATTTCCATTGATAACTCCTGTGTCAAGTCTGCAGCTGCTGACGTCTGTTTTTCACAGCTTGGTTGTAAAAGTAGTTCACTGTCTGTGGAGTCATTATCCGAGGACGACCACCTCAGCTCTGATTAGTGGTACTAGAGCTCCTTCTATACCTCCTGATTACTGCTGACACTGTGGTTCACTGATTTTTAGTTGATCTTCCTGGATCCTTTTCCATTTTTGTGAAGTCCCAAGAATTTTTCAGTTCTTCTGGCAATTCTATCCATATGGAGCCATAATACATAATACAGACATGCATACGTCCAAAACTGAGAAAGTTCTGCTGTTCACAGCTCATTTTCTAACCACATTCATGCAGTTAGGCTGATTGGAAATCACAGGTGGATTCACAGTTTCTACTTCGGGGAGTGAAGTTTCAATATAGAATAATACCAGTCCTTCTGAAGCATTTGTTTTTGATTGTTCATAGGAAGAAATCCTCTACTGTTCAACTCAGAAATAATACACTTTTTAAGAGGTATTGCAATTTTGAATAGTTTGACATTTAAGTTACACTATGAAGTGTATTGTCATACACTGAGATTTTTCATAATTGGCCATGTTTCTGTATAATTGTCAAGTGAATCTGAAGACAACTTTTATAGTGATACTTTGGTACTTTTGCATTTTTGACACCAGAACATCATTAAAGACTAATCAAAAGGTAAATTTGTCTCTACTCACAGGTTTTCCATAGGAGTCGTGTACTGGTGAGATGATCCCTCCGATCACAATGAAGCGCCCTGTTTTGTGCAGATACTCTCTGGCTTTTTCTGCAAACAGAGAAACAGAAAAAATAAGGGTGTGGAATACATTAAACAATAACGACCGGGGGCCTCATCTATCATCAGTGCATACGCACAGATATGGGCATAGAGCGTGTATACGAACATTCCTATGCAAAGTATGGAATTTATCAACTTGTACTTATACTTAGGATTTTTGCGTAAATATACGCACAACTCTGACCATGCGTAGACATAATCTAGCAGTAGAATAGTGAAGCTACAAATAGAAAGCATTTGTTGATTTTGACCACCGGCACATTCCACCGTGAGGTTGGAGACATATGCAGCATTTCCCAGCGACCACTGAGCAGGATCAAGCCGCCAGTGTTGGATGCCATAAGTTCCCTGGCCCCAGCCTACATCCGGTTCCCTTACAGCCATCACCAATGAGCCCAAATCAAACAGGGACTTAACGCCATTGCTGGATTCCTAAACATAAGTGGAGCCACAGACTGCCTCACATCACTAATGAATTTAATTTTGTAAATTGACAAGGGTTTCATTCAATCAACGTACAAATAATTTGCAATGCATATTTGTCGTTATCCAACATTGTTGCCCGGTGGCTTGGAGGAACACACGACTAATTCATTGAACAGAACAGCTCTGTGGGTGTGTCTCCAAGCAGGAGCTGTTGAAGATGGCTGGCTTACTAGTGAGTGTTACAAAGTGTGGAAATGTTGTGGCTGGATTTAACATGGTTTTTAAAACATCTCATCTGTAGTAATCAGGGTTATCCACTGGGTGAACATTCGGTATTAATTCGTCCTCCAGTTGCTGTCATTTCTCTTTTATGGGCTGTGATGCGTTTTTTTGGCACTAAGCTTAACGTCAAACCACTTTTTAAAAATTTTTGGCAGCGATCTGTCCTCTGACCCAATAGAAATGACTGTGGTGGTTGTCTTGTCCCATGCAGCATTTTTTCTTTCGCTGCTTATCCCAACATTTCACGCACCAAACAATATTTTCTGATTTGTGTCAACCTCGCTGACAAGTACCTCAATCTCAGTTTCAGGAAAGTTCCTCTTTTTCGCCCTTTTTGCCACGATGATGATGACAGGTGAGGGAAAAATAAGTCTTCACTTGCTTTATAAAGAGGTGTGTTGCTGCCATATATGGTGATTTGGAGGCGTTTCTGAAGGCAACGTGCACGAGTATGGAGGTTAAGAACAAGTGGGATTTATCAACACTGATGTACGTACGACCCCGTACGCACGTTTGATAAATACAGATTTTTTTGTACTTACGCACACTCTAAATTTCATGCGTACGACAGAATTTAGAACCTTTTCTATGCACTGATGATAAATGAGGCCCCTGGGCTGTAGCTGAACCAAAAATTTACACTGATAATTACAAGTGAGCTGGTGGTTTTATTTATTTACCATTACAAATTAAATAGGATGACATATGTGGAGTGGCAGAAATGGTGGTTTCCCATTTTTGAAACCTGTAGGTTGTATTCCAACTATCAGGGAATCACACTGCTCAGGCTTTTCCGGGAAAGTTTATTCCACAGAGTTGGATGGAAGGCTACAGCTGAGTGTTGAACCTTGGATCTAGAAGGAGGTATGTGGGTTCTGTCCTGGCTGTGGAACAGTGGACCAGCTTGTTACCCTTTGTTGTTGCAGAGAGGGTCATGGCAGGTGGACCATGAAGTTCACATTTTGTGGACTTTGAGAAGACCTATGACTGTGTCACTGGGGGAATAATATGGGGAGTTTTGTTAGGGCACCAGGTTAAGATACATCCAGTCCCTCTACAACAAAGTCAGAGCTGTGTTCATATTCTCTGGTGGGTGTTGGAGTCTACCAAGGTTGCCACATGTCTGCTGTTGTGTTATTTATGGACAAGGTCTCAAGATGCAGTCATTGTGAGGAGGAAGTCCGATTTAAGGACCTCAGAATTGCATGTTTTTTTTTGCAGATGATGTGGTTCTGTTGTCATGTTTTCATCCCAAACCAGTGAATTGTTCCCTTTGGGTTTGAGGTTTGTTACTGTCCCCAGTGAAGGAGTTTAAGTATCTCAGGATCTTGTTCATAAGTGACAGGAAAATGAAGTATGAGATGAATAGTTGGATTAGTGCAGCTTCAGCAGTCGTTGTCCCGAACCATTTTGGGAAATCTCTCAATTTACTAACTTTACGTTCCAACTCTCTCTGGGTAGTGACTAAAAAAAATGGTGGCTGAGCTCAGCCTTAGAGATAGTGTAAGGAGCTGGAACATCTGGAGGAAAGGAGTCAGCGGATTCAAATGCCTCCTGGACGTAATCAACTAGGAGGTGACCCTGAAGTAGAACCAGAACTCACTGGAAGGATCCATATCTCATCTTCCCTGGTAACACGTCTGGAAGAGCTGGAACGTGATGCTGATGTCTGGATTGACCTAATAATCCTGCTACTATGGAGGCCTGGAAATGGTAGACAATGGGTGGATAGATAAAAATGACTGCTTTTATTCTTTGTAGCTAGTGGTCTTGTTTGTTCTTCTCAGAAAATGGTGCAAAACTGTCCATGTTGGAGAACTGGTCAACAAAATAACTTAATAACAGAATAAACACAGACATAACCGACAGTGTGCATGCTAGAAATAAGTTCTGCTCTATCTTTGCACACTAAGCTAAAACTTGCTATACAGCTCTTTTGACCACTTTTTTGTTTTCTTTTTGAAACAAGAATATACAGTAAAGACCATTTAAGACCAAGAACATTTCTCACAATGTCAAAGCCTTTTTTGCTGCCACATCAATCCAACAGTTCTTATATTTGACAACAGTCTTTCTGCATGTCTTTTCTGGGATTTGTTCCTCTTTGGGATGAAGTTGAAGACTTCCTCACCATCACTCTGGTCTTCACTTCCTCCATAGATTCTCAATGGGATTTAGGTGTGGACTCGAACATCTTCTGGTTGTTTGCTGTTCACTATTTCTTCATTGTCTTCCTCTGGGCTTCGCCTGGATTCCCAGCTGAGCTTTTTTTAAATTATCCTTTTGAACAGTTTGCTGCCATGGCGACGGTGATGTTAACAAGCTCTTTGAGCAAAGATGTGACTGATGGAGGTTTTTTTGTTTGAGTCATTGGCTCATTGAAGGATCAGTGTAAGTTTTTCTGCAGACTGCCTGATGTTTTTCTCAACAAGCTTTACTTAATCTTCTTTTCTCACAATGCCCTTTACTTTGATGAGGCTGAAAAACATCCAGAAAGCATCACATTCTTACCAGGTTTGACTGTTGGGAATGCTTCTCCTTCTCTGGTCCCTGTCTCCAAAAAACTCCATTTTCATCCCATCCTACCACAGAACTGAAGACTAGAAGCTTTTTCTTTGTCCAGTTGCACTTTTGTTTGTCTCTCTTGAAAAAGTGAATTCCTTTTTCAAGAGAGACAAACA